AGCTGGAACTGGTTCTAAACGGCACTGTAGATTTGTGGAACCTCTTCTATAGAAGAGGTTAGAACTGGCAGGAACCCACCCCTGGTGTGTATGTACACAAGGTGCTGATTCAGTGCAAATGGGGCTTTTTCGAGCATAAAAAACTACCCCTCCTCAAAGTATAAGATTTAATAGCCATGATGCCAAGAGAGAGGTAACACATGTCCAGAGTCAGCGAAAGGTAAGCATAGGTTTGTTCATCCCAGAGATGAGTCAAAACAGTAATTTGAAACAAAGCAGAAAAGGTATAAAAAGTTTTATAACCACACTTTGCACTTTGGGGAGAGGGTTGGTACAGCAATGCAAGTCAGCATTTTGAGCTCGCTGTACAATTATTGATGACTTTTTAGATTTAAAATGGGGCCTCTTTACACTGCTGTGCAAAATAGATAAGAGTATATTTGATATTAATTCTAGACTTTCCATGCCAAGTCTAAAGAAAATGGACAATACATTCTTTCCTTTGTGCCAAGACATGTAAGAAAACCTCCCTTTCAGTCCTGATATTGTAGACAATTAAGAATATCACAAAAGATATAGTTTAATGTTAGCCGGTTTTTCACAATTTAATATGTGCTGAATTTCAACAGTAAAAGAATTCAAAACACTCTTTTTAACAGTAGCAATATATAGTTTTCTAATTCAATAAAATCCCTTGTTTATTTTCCTACAGTTTCTTAGATGGCTTTTCCCACATAGAAAATATATATATATAATTTATAAAAAGAACTTAATAATTCCCAAATAGTTTCCATTTCTACTTGAAGTTGCAGCAGGAATTCACTGAGTTCCTTCCATTTGCTTTGGTGCTTCATATTCCAAGATGCAGCCTCCATTTTTTTAAAGTTTCTTTGTTATTTTTGGTTCTTTTAAAAGCTGTTTTCTCTGGAACACACTAAGATTGAAAGAGGGCAGTCGGCATATCTACTGCTGCATAACTTTTATAATACTGCAGGATACAATTTTTTATAATACTGTTCAAGGTAACCTTTTGGTCCTCCTGCACCTCTTGCAAAGAAAGAACTCTGATTTGAGACTGATTTTCAAATTAAAAATTGTGCCATCAGATTTGCCACTCCTAGAAGAATTATCAAAAAATGGCTGATTAGTGCAAACCACGTCAGCTGATTTTCCCGATGCAAAGAGATGATATAGATGATGGATGGGTATACAAATACAAAGGCGAGGCCACAGGTTGCTCCAGAATATCTGGAAGAAAATAACATATGATTTTATATCTTTATTTTTTCAGACTACAATCTTTGCATGTCTGTTCAGTGACAGGTCCCATGTATAACAAACTATCTAGCCACCAACATTTTATTCAGAAACTGCTGTCCCAAGTAGTATATTTTAGTATGCTGAGCAAGCCCAGAAAATTGGGTTAACTTGTGTCCATGGTTAAACTAAATATGAATAAGCATTAAAGATAGTCATAATGTGATTGGTTGGTTGGTTGGTTGGTTGGATAGTTAATTGATTTATATTTACTATGCAAAATAATTACTCACTAGCCATCAAGACAAATCTTTCCCAATGTTAAGCAAAGTAAGCCTTGGTACATAACCAGACCAGAGCAATTATTTTAATGTGCTTCATCACTTTAAAACTTTTACTGCATGCTGGACACCAGACTTATCCCACAACAAAAAGAAACTACAAATGATATCACTATGAACACATTATAGCTACTTCTGTTCCTTTTGATCAGATTCCTGTCCCCATCTCTCATAATCCTACATTTGACTCTTTAATAAAAGTAATTAAACATAAACTGACAATAGAGCTACACAGATTTTGCTTGTGTCAGTAGAGTTTCTACATGTACAAGTAAAGATTATATTCAAGGTCAGGAAAATTGTGCTACTATAGGACAAAATGAGAGTGTTGTTCTTGTGTTTTACAAAATGGCTAGATATGTCATGGCCAAGGGAAGGGAACAAATTCTACAAGGCTGATGGACACATGCATGTTTTAGGCACACAGAAGATATCTGATGCAACAATTATCATTTTTACTGTATTTTTCGGAGTATAAGAGGCACCAAGATTTTAAAGAGACATTTTTTAAAAAAAGGTTTTGCACTCTGCAGACCTCCCAAAAAACGGCCCATTTTTCATGAAAACAGGCCCGGGTTTCCCTCCCGCCCCCCTGCAAAAGGGCATGAATAGCCTTTAGTAGGCTTGTGGAGTGCTCCTGAGGGATGGAGTGGGGCAAAAATGAGGGGAAAAAGGGCCTGTTTTTCACGAAAATGGGCCCGTTTTTTGTCAAAAAAGGGCATGCATAGCCTTTAGGCTTATAGAGTGCTCCTGCGGGCTAGGGGTGGGGGGCAAAATTGAGCAAAAAACATCCCATTTTTTGCTCATTTCTGCCCTCCCCAGCCCACAGAAGCATCTGGAATCTTCCTAAAGGCTATGCAAAGCCATTTTGGTGAAGGGGGCAGGATTTCAGGAGACAAAAAAGGCTGTATTCAGTGTATAAGACGCTCCCAGATTTTCCATAGTGTGCTGCATTAATCAATAGCATTTATGTAGTGTTCAAACAACTTCACAATTATTCTTTTAATACTTCTTCAGTGGGGTGAGGGGAACAATCACCAAAGCTGGATAACAGAGGCTGTGAGACTGCAGCTTGCATCTGATATGAAGAGCCAGAGAAAATTTCTTCTTTTTTAAAAATGGTTATTCATATTTTTATAAAGAACACCAGATGGGTTCGTGGCAGAGTACTCCTTTTGAAGAGAGAAAAGGAACCAATCGCAAACATTCCTTTTTGCATTCGGATGACTGCACAAAATTGCTTAGTCAAGGCTTGCTTATTTAAATTCATTTGTTCTTTGTTTCTGTAGCTCGCAATAGAACAAATGAGTGGGAATATGTGGTTGGATGTCCAAGAGGTATTTAAAAAGAAACAGGATCCAAGGTTTTTCACATGCAGAAAGTTCAGGTGAAATTCAAATTGTGAGAAAACAGCAGTACGAGGAAGGAGCAATGTTTTGCCACTTTAAGTCATTAATAAAAATATTGAAAGTGGGATAAAAACAAATAAATAAAATTGAAAGGGGAAAACACGAGGAGCTTTGAAAATAAAAGGAGATGCGGAAGATATTTATGGTAAAAGTTTCCAAACTGTTTTTAAAAAAACCAATTAATAGTACCTTATGTTGGACAAAAATGTTTAAACATTCACACATGGCACAGATCTAAAATGCAGTTTTAAAATATGGAATTTTGGTAATAGTGTTTGTTATTACTACAAGGGGAAAGAAAATCATGGCAAAAGAAAGCTGATTTGAAGGAAGGCTCTATCATGAAGCCATTTTTAATATTCATAGCTACTTGATGGTAGCTGGGGCTTCATTTATTTTATTTGAAAATTTGGGGTTCTTTTTTCCTTAGAGAAAATAAGTAGGAATGATAAGGTGATAAAACACTTTGAAATAGAATACAAAGCTCTTTATGTGTTACAGAAAATAAAAATATTTTGTGGGTGAGGTAAATTAGTTCAGATAGGGATAGGTAAGCAGTTGTACTCCAGATGTTGCTGAATTACAATTTCCAGCTTCCCTAGAAACATGGCTACTGATAAAGCTGCTAATTTAGGATCCTGGAGTGCTAGGAGTACTCCAGCTAGGATGCAGCTGCTAATTTAGGATTTCTCTCTTGGATTAGAGAGAGTTTTTTGAAAGAAATTGCCTGCTCACTCTTGATTCCTTATAGAATAGAACTGGGCAATCTTTTTGTTTTTAAGCACTCACCATTTTTTCATAATTGTCAATGATGTATGTATCAGAGATATGTGGCATTTATATGGTGGGATTTTCTTTCTTTCCCTTTATTTTTAGTGAAGTTTATTTTTCCCTTTTCTTGTTTGATTATGAGAGTCACACTAGAGCTATGACTCCCGATGTTCCACCCATAGTCTGGAATTATCCGAATGTTTAGCCTGATCTATACATACATCAGCATTATATAAGAATGATAAAATGTTGTTTGGAGAGGATAGATCAATTGTCGTACCTTTGGGTTCATTTGGGTAATTCAGATTTTCAATGTCTCTGAATGTGAAAGAAATTGAATCTGGATATATTTTTGCTGCAAAAAACAAATACTATGGTAGTGACCAAGAAAATGTATGCTGTGCTGAATTGTTTCCTGTTGCGAAAATGTGTAAAAAAAGTGAGAGGCTTATTGCACAATTTTATCACTTTAGTTTGCTGCATGCAGATGCTAGATATGAGAATCACCCACTATTTTGTTTAAATTTTACATGATAGTTAGCATAGTCCTACATCAATTTCAGTATAAGAATCAATTCATATTTCAAGGATACCTTATGATTCCCCCTATATTTGGATAAAATCTGGCCACTGTAACTCCGATTCCTACAATGATAATGTTCGAAACCAGCACGTGGAAAAAACTGTAAGAGAAGAGAAAAACCAAGCTATGTAACTCTATGTAAGAGCAACCTCTTTTATTAGTTTCAATAAGCTAGTAAAAATCTTTCCATTTCTGTGACTCATCCACTAAAACCAATTACTTTTAGATGAAATGAACTTTTCTTCCAACAGCCAAATCTTAAATTGGTATTTTGAATACAATATAGCGATCTGAATTTCTAAGGTTCTTTTATTTGTTATCCAAAGTTCATAAAAGCATACACATCTCTCTGTTTCTCTCACTCTCTTTTACACACACATACATATGAACAGTCATCCCAAATACTCCTAAATGCCATCCATATACACTATATAAAGTATAATAAAATACTCTAAAACACATTCCCCATATGAAAAGTAATATTTTGGATCCATGAATGATCTGCCAAACTAATGAATATCAGAAGAAGAATCTTTAGAGGAGTGGAAATCATAACATTATAAATGTAAAGGTAAAGGTTCCCCCCACCAAATGGTTCCCATTTTTCTACTTGCATTTTTTACATGCTTTTGAACTGCTAGGTTGGCAGAAGCTGGGACAAGTAGCGGGAGCTCACTCCATTATGTGGCACTAGGGATTCGAACTGCTGAACTGCCAACCTTCTGATCAACAAGCTTAGCCACTGCGTCCCTAATGTAACCCCAAGCAAATTTTAAAGATTTTGATAGATTAAATAAATATTTAGGTTTGCAGGACTCACACAGAACAATTTTCATCAAACTCATTTTTTAGAGATAGTGTAAACAGAAAAGGTTTTGTATCCTATCTCACCTTCTTAAATTTTATAAGTAGAAAATTAAAAACTTGCAAGAGTTTTCACATTCCAAACAAGGCCTACATGTTAATGTAAACATACCATCCCATTTAAATGCTGATTTAGAAATTTTATACTCTTAGAAATGGGATTCTTGCTATTTTAAACAAAGAAAGAAACCAGATACAAAAAACAACTTGGGCATTATGATTTATTATTTTTAAATATATTTTATCCATATTGCTATTATACAAACAAGGAAAAGAAAATCCAAAAACAGAAAACATATTAAAAAATTAAAATGAAAAAAGGCACCATCACTAGTCACCCCTGCTAAAAGTGTGTATATGTATATATATGTATGTATATATATATATATGTGTATGTATGTATGTATGTATGTATGTGTGTGTATATATATATATATATATATATATATATATATGTGTGTGTGTGTGTGTATGTATGTATGTATGTATGTATGTATGTATGTATGTATGTA